GCATCTATTTCGTGCACAACTTGAACAAACTACAACGGGTAAAGCTGTCAGCTGTGTGGATATTGGCAATATCGTTAACAATTCTCGTTTATAATCATTACTAATATGGCTTCTTCTTAACAAGATCTTAGTATATGCTGTGTTCTGTTAATGCGTGAACTTCATTATTTGAAGCGCACTTGCCGTCCAGTAATCGCAAAAAGCTTTGTGCTTTGTTACTTTTTAATAAACAAAGTATCAGCTTTAAAATTATTCAAAATTCATAACGAAATACAAACAATACATACAGTTGTTTTTGGCGCTCTTTAATGCGGCAGGCGCGATCGCTTTAGCACCTCAGTTCAAGCGGCACGTGAACCCATTTCATCTTTCTCTTTACTACTATAGTACATAATGAACATGAATTAACATCAAATAATTTGGTGTCTACGTTTTTTTCTTATAGGAACCAATGGCTCCTTACTCTATTTTTTTGTTTGGAGCCCTGTACTATGTCATAAAAGCCATGCATATGGAGCTAGTTATGTAATGCAAACATCAAAATGCATTAGTCTACAAGTCATGCACTATGATGAAAGTATTTGGTTACACTTTATTTCGATAGTCCACTTTAGACATTCTATTAACTATAAGTAACGTTGTAACTACATGTCAACTACATGTCAACTAATTCTCATTAATTTGCAACTACATGTCTACTAACTCTCAGAGTAACAATAGTATTAAAATAGTAAAGTGCAATGCTGTACCGGGTGCACTACTGAGCAAGTTTACTATGTCAAAAAAGCCACACATATGGAGCTAGTTATGTAATGATGACATCAAAATGCATTAGTCTACAAATCATGCACTATGGTGAAAGTATTTTGAGCTAATAAAATAGTATTGTGCAACGAACCACACAAGAAAAAGCATTTATTAATCAAAATGTGCCCTGTAATGCATGCGGTGGCCTTCGCAAGACCACAAGTGCACCATTTGGGACAGAGCCTTGGGCCGTCCTCATGAGATTTGCATTATCGGTTAAAATGGTGGCAGAATATGGTATTTTTTCCCCTTGATATTTCAAAAGCATGTCATGTCAGAACCACAGCGTAGTGCAGGGATCCTCAAATCTGGCCCACGAGATCCACTTCCCTGCACAGTTTAGCTCAAACACACCTGAGCATGCTAATCAATTTCTTCCGGATCATTAGAAAATCACAGGTAGGTGAGTTTGATCAGGAATGGAGCTAAACTCTGCAGCGCATTGGCCCTCCAGGACAAGATTTGAGGAACCCTGGCATAGTGGTTAGTGCACATGCACAGAAATGTTGCCTTTCTGCTGTGAACTGATGGATGGATGGATAGATATTTGATCTTCATTTTGAGAGATTTTCTGAAACTGCATGCTAAATCAGCTAATCTGTTTTAGCTTGGGCAGTTTTTCAGTGTATCAGAGAGAGACTGAGTGAAAATGTATTGTCATTTTATTGGTTTTAGGTCTTATGAGTTCATTTCTGCTCATATCTGAATTTATGTTTAGATATAACTCTGACATTCCAGTCTCTCAAACTTTCAGAAGAAAGCAAAGAGGTCTGTAAGATCGACTTTATTGTTAATGATGACATCAAAATGCATTAGTCTCCAAATCATGCACTATGGTGAAAGTATTTTGAGCTCATAAAATAGTATTGTGCAATGAACCACACAAGAAAAAGCATGTATTAATCAAAATGTGCCCATGTAATGCATGCGGTGGCCTTCGCAAGACCACAAGTGCACCATTTGGGACAGAGCCTTGGTCCGTCCTCATGAGATTTGCATTATGGGTTAAAATGGTGGCAGAATATGGTATTTTTTCCCCTTGATATTTCAAAAGCATGTAATGTCAGAACCACAGCGTAGTGCAGGGATCCTCAAATCTGGCCCACGAGATCCACTTCCCTGCACAGTTTAGCTCAAACACACCTGAGCATGCTAATCAATTTCTTCCGGATCATTAGAAAATCACAGGTAGGTGAGTTTGATCAGGAATGGAGCTAAACTCTGCAGCGCATTGGCCCTCCAGGACAAGATTTGAGGAACCCTGGCATAGTGGTTAGTGCACATGCACAGAAATGTTGCCTTTCTGCTGTGAACTGATGGATGGATGGATAGATATTTGATCTTCATTTTGAGAGATTTTCTGAAACTGCATGCTAAATCAACTAATCTGTTTTAGCTTGGGCAGTTTTTCAGTGTATCAGAGAGAGACTGAGTGAAAATGTATTGTCATTTTATTGGTTTTAGGTCTTATGAGTTCATTTCTGCTCATATCTGAATTTATGTTTAGATATAACTCTGACATTCCAGTCTCTCAAACTTTCAGAAGAAAGCAAAGAGGTCTGTAAGATCGACTTTATTGTAGCAGTGTGTCACAGGGTGAGAGCGAGCAGAAGCCGTGTGATGCTGCAGTTTAGAGATGCTGGACCATCTGTCAGAGATTCTGTCGGCTGCTTTAACCCTCAGAGAACAAACATGACCAGCATACACACACATACAGTACAGGATTGTTTCCTGTTAATAAAAGCTGTGAGATGATCTGGTTATGATATGTTTTGAATCTATTTTAAATAATCTACATGTGAGTGGCATGATGAGAAAAAAAAAAAAACATGAATAGAGAAACTGCAGCTGCTTGTATTGGTCCGACCTAAATTGCCGATGCCACCTGGGCAGCATATTCTGTTACTGTATATGTTCCACATATTATTATCGTTGTTTATTTTGTCTGGTTGCTGGTAACTCCTTAGGAAGGTTACTGTTTTAAAGAACTGAGCGATTCATTTTTAACACTAGAACCGACACGGGGTAAAATTTACCTCATGGCTGTTTTTAATATGTGCATATCAGATCTTCAATGAAATATCCAAGTCTCCCAGTCATTGACTTTTACTAAAATTGGGTTATTTACAATCTCCTGTTAAAAAAATGGTTAGTTAAAACCAGGTTACAAGCTGGGAATCTTTACCTATAAGCGCCAGCAGGTCTAATTTACCCATATAATGCCTATTTTCACGCTTACTGTAGGCAGTCACACAATGAACGTTCAAATTAAGATGTTTTAGCCTATTCATAAATGTTCAAACTTTAGATTA